TACTGTATGTCATTAGTTGGTATATTGTTTTTGTCAAAGTACCATAAAAATCAGGATATAATGGTTATATCTTATTTTTAATTATATGTTTGCAGTAATCATGATTACATTCACTATGGGGAATTAGTAAATGTACATAACACATCTCAATTCTTTTTATCCCTTCCCTTCGACCCCCTTTTTTTGTAGTTAGCATCAGATTTATTTTCTTTAAAAAAAAAGATTTTTTTTTTTTTTGGTACTGGAGATAGAACTCAGGACTTTGCATTTGCAAGGCAGGTGGCAGAACCACTGAGCTAAATCCCCGGCCCTAATTTCTAAATGTTTTAAATACAACATGGGTCAGGTTGGCTTATAATAACATTTTCTCTTTCCTGTTGTCTGTCTCTTATTTTGTGCTTTATTTATACATTGAGTTTCTCATATGAGAAATCACGTGATATCTAGGCTTGTGTGTCTGATTTGCTTTGTTGTTTTAATTTGTATTTCTTGAACTGCCAGTGATGCTGAATATTTTTTCACATATTCATAAGCCATTTGAACTGCTTCATCTGATAAGTGCCTATTATGTTCATCTATTCATTTCAGATGCCCATTTTTTTACTGAGTCTTCAAATTTGCGAGGGTCTAACTTTTTGAGGGTTTTTTTATATTCTAGATATTAGTCCTTTGTTAGAAGAGTGGCTGGCAAATTTTTTTCCCCATTCTATAGGTTGTCTCCTCACTCTGTCTCCCCACTCTTGGTGATTTCTTTTGCTATGTAGGAGCTTTTTATTTATTTATTTATTTATTTATTTATTTATTTATTTATTTTTGGTTTTTTGAGACAGGGTCTCACTATGTAGTTGAGACTGACCTGGAACTCACAATGTGGCCCAGGCTGGTTTCAAACTCACAGCAATCCTCCTGCCTCAGCCTCCCAAGTGCTGGGATTATAGGCGTGTGCCACCATGCCTGGCTGGAGCTTTTTAATTTAATGTGATTCTATTTGCTGATTTGTGATGTTATTGTGCAACCAGGAGTCCGTTTAGAATCCTGAACTGAATTTGTCTATGTCTGTGTCTTGAGTTTTCCCTAAAAGTAAAAAAGTTTTACCTATTGTGTCTTCCACAAAAATGTTTGTTATAATATTTATATCTTTGATCCATTTTTATTTTAGTTTCATGCATAGTGAGAGTATATGGATCTAGGTTTTATCTTCAGCATGTGGATAGCCAGGTCTCCCTGGCACTATTTGTTAAAGAGGCTGTCTTTCCTCCAGTGAAAGATTTGGCCCCTTTGTCAAAGGTAAGGTACCTGGGGTTGTTTCTGCATCCTTTATTCCTTTGATCCACAAGTACTCCACATCTTTGTAATTTTAGTGTTCATGTAGCACAGTTTTAATCCCTCATCCTTCCTCCTCGCAGAAACGCGTACTTTTCTTTCTCCTCAGGCCCCTTGACTCTGCTGTGGAAGCCCCAGTGCCGGTTTCCATCTGTTTTGCTCTTTGAACTTGGCTACGCTGAGATTGCCAAGAACAGACTCTTCCCCTTCATAGCTCCCTCTCTGCCCCGATTTCTTCTTCTGTGTCAGGGATTTTTTCCCCTGCTTTTGGGACACACATTCTCCATGCATATTTTTCAAACAGACATGACTTAAGTGTCCTCGTTCCCCACGTGTAACATTTGAATTTATCAAAGTAGTTTTGCCTTCAGATGAACTCAGCTGCTTTTCCATTGCCAGTAGCAATGCTTGCCTTTAGCTCTCTTGACTTTATGGCCCTAGTGCAGTTTTTGCACAGAGTCCATCCAGAAATAGTATAACTACAACCCTTTTATCTTCCTAGTATCCCTGTCTTTCGTGAGAGTAACCTTCATGACTTCGCCGTTCTGCACTTGGAAGAGATTCCGTGTCAGTCATTGTTTGTCAGTGAGAACAGCAAGCTGGATGTGTCGGCCACGCTCTAGCTTGGAGCCAAGCCACCGCTCGTTTATTTCAAGCAGTTAGAGTCACTCCATCTGGGCGAATTAGGTGCCTCTTTTCCCAGCCGCTACTTAAGAGTCTACGTGGTCTTCCTTTCAGGTAGCTCCTTTAACAGTCAGTACTGGATTTCATAATTTAACTTCCTCCTTTCCTATCCATATCCCTTTTATTTTTTTCTTGCCTAACTGCGCTAGGTAACGTTTTGAACCCTCTGTTTAATGGGAGTGGTGATAGTGGATATTCCTTTTTCCTGATTTTACGGTGAGAGCTTTCACGCTTTCCCTGTTTAATGGGATGTTGGCAGTAGGTTTGTCATAAAAACTGCTTTCATCAGATCAAGATAAGGTCATTCTCTACTTATTTTCTTCAGTATTTTTTATAATGATCATGAAAAGATGTTGGATTTTTGTCAAAGGCTTTCACTACATCGAGTGAGAAGATTAATATCAATACCTACGATCTCCTCCTTTTCCATTCTTGCTCCTAAAATTTTTTTTTCTTTGAGACAGAGTCTTGCTGTACATTCTAAGGTAGCCTGGCTCTCACTATGTAGCCTAGGCTGGCCTTGAACTCAGTGATCCTCCTGCCTCAGCCTCCCAAGTGCTGGGATTACAGGTGTGCACCACCATGCCCTGCAAAAATTAATTAAAAAAAAATTCTGAACAAACAACCATCTCTTTTGTGGTAACTGTCCCATGACTCCAGTGGGGAGAAAATCTCATTTGGGTTAAACTTTAATAAAAATTTTCTTGGATTAAAGAGAAGACACAGGATGTCAGGTGGGAGGTGGCAGCTCTCTCTCCAGGAAAGGCCCCTACAGGAGGGTCCACCTCCAGCCTGTCTCAAAATAAAAAATAAACTGGATGTGGTTGTGCATAGCTATAATCCCAGCACTCAGGAAGCTGAGGCAGGAAGGTCACCGTGAGTTCAAGGACAGCTTGAATTACCTGGCAAGGCCCTGTCTCAAAAATTAAAATTAAAATTAAAAAGTTTAAATTAAACATAGAAAGAGCTGGAGATACAGATCAGTGCAAAGACCACGCAAGGTATATTTATTTCTAACAGACACATAAAGCAAGTAAACCAAATCTAACATTAACTACTAATACAATCATGTCAACATGAAGATAGTTACAGTGTTTTGAAATTGCACATGCATTGTACAGGCACTCGGGGGGCTGAATGTTGGGTGTCCACTGTCATTTGTTGTTATCATGACCTTGAACAAGGCCTGGAGATCAGAGAAATCATCTGTTGCCACTGGCGTCTTGGGCTCCATGGTCTGCCTGCAGGCACAGGCAGGGGACAACTCCCTGCCCCCTGAGTGAGGTGTTAAAAGGCAGGTTCCGGGCGGGGATTTGGCTCAGCGCTTCTTGCAGCGCAAGGGCTGGAATCCAATTGATACCAAAAATAAAAAGGCTGGCAGGTTCCTTCAAACATGGGAGGCCCTTCGTGAGCAAGGAAGGTCAGCACTGCATGGGCAGAAGGCGTCTGTCCTCTCTGTCCAAAGTTCTGACCAAAAAAATATTGTTAGTAACTAACACCCGAAGTCAACCATGTGGGTAATGTATAAAACCCACCTTTCTGTTACATGAGCACAACTGCAGATCGGAGAAACCACGCCTGGCACACTCAGGAGTCTCCAAAGCAGTGGGGGAACATCGAGTCAAAGCACGCGGACTAACCACACGGATCAGAACGTACTGTGTGCAGGTCATTCTGCCACTAGCAAACTCATGAGACAAAACCATTGACCACCTGGGCTCTGACCAGTGCTTTAAGTGTGAAAGGAGTGTATTCAGGAAGAGCTTTGTTTTTTGGTAGGATCAAACTCAGGACCGTGAGCTTGCGAGGCAGGCACGGTGCCACTGAGCCAAATCCCCAGCCCCAGAGCATTTTCTAGGGCTGGGGATTTGGCTCAGTGGTTCCACCGCCTGCCTTGTAAGCGCAAGGACCTGAGTTCGATCCCAGTATTTAAAAAAAAAAAAAAAAGAGAGAAGAAGAACACAAGGAAGAACATTTTCCAGATTGCTTGAATTCATGTTTTCCCAGATTGCAATCCTAATTAGCTTTCCAAAATGTCACTTTTTCCCATTAAATTTATCTATACATTTTAGGTATACAATACAGTCCCATTCATCACTGGGATCTTGTACCTTTACACGATGTATCTCGTTTCTTGTTTTTCCCCACTCCCCTGTCCTCCCTTCACCCCCTCCACCCTTCCCTATTTGCAAAGATTTTTGTTTCCATGTTTTTCCTTTTCACATTTTTTCTTTTCCCTTCTTCCCTTTCCCCTACCCCTCCCACTTCCCCTACTTCTTTAGAAATTTTCTTCCTATTTCACAGTATCAATTATACATTTTGATTTTTACACTTTTAGTTTTTCACACCAGAGAAACTAAGTAATTTTCATTCTTTAAAAAAGTATCCAGCATACAGCATCAAATGATTGCGTGGAAATGATTCTGAGTGAGAGACTAATTTAATTACGCCGTGTCACCTAAACTCCCTCCACCGCTCTTCAGTCCCTGCCATCTCCCAGTTTGATTTTCTCATCCTCAAACTGTGATCACCCGTCAGTCATCTAGAGCTGTGGTAAAAGCAACTGAACATTTTGAAGTGAAATATAAATTTCAGAAGGGGAAGTAAAAAGGATTACCAACTCCCCATGATAAATGTATTTATTATATATCACACACATATAAAACCTCATATCCCGCAATTCAATTAAATCCGGAGAGAGAGGGAGGCTGAGTGAACCCCAGGCTGGAGAAATGACAGAGTCTCCATGGCCCTGAGTCGAATCACAGCTTGCCTGGGTACAGTTTATGTCTGGATGTCCCAAAGCCTCCTGCGCTCACAGGTGGGGCTTTGGGAGCTGACTGGATTATGGGCACATGACACTCGTCGTGGGGTTTACAGCCACCTGTGGTGCCAGGAGGTGGACCTGGTGGGCAGAGGGGGTCACTGGGCGTGGCCCAGAAGGGTGTCTGGCATTTTGGCCCAGCCATGAGGAAAGTGTCCAAGGCACCTACCCAGCAAAGGCAGTGGACTGGTTCTCTCAGTGACTCAACCCCTCCGTTTCTAGCAGGGCGTTGCTCAGGCTGATGCAATGGAGAGGTGGAAGGTTTCTGGGTCCAGGCCAGCACTGTCCAAACAGAAATATAGCATCACCCACATATGCAATGATAAACTTTCTAAAAGCCATGAAAAAATAAATTTATTTCAATGTCAAAATATAGTATTCCTGCACATAACTCAAAATGATGTTAATTCAAAAATGTTAATGAAAAAATTTACATTTCTCTCAGGGCCCCAGTTCGGGCCCTCAATAGCCATGTGGCTGCTGGCTACATTGTGGCACAGCTGGGGTGTAGGCTCCATCACCCCAACTTCAAACTCAAGGATGAACCACGTCCCTGACCGCAGTACAGCACCCCATTACCAGGAGCTCAAGGCCATCTGTCACTTAGGTGCTGTGGTGTCTTCAGGACCTAGGTCTAGTGCCTGGGAACAGTAGTGTGTGAAAATGAGTGTCCCAAAGGTTGGTGTTTGCTGGACTCATGGAAACTGCAGTGTTGTGCACTCCCCAGGCACAGGCTGAGGCTGAACAATGTAAAGATACAAGGAGCTGTCCTGCTAAGTTCCCCTGGGAAAACCCTCACACCTAAATGTGGCTGTCTGCTGCCTCCAATGCCTCACTCACTGCAGGAGCTCCACAGGAAGGGCTGTGGGACCGCTGCTCCACGGTGTCCAAGAAGACCGACCTCAGGCCCAGGTCCCAGCTGCAGAGTCTGGTTTCCAAGACGAGGAAATCAGGCCCCAGCTGAGCCATCCTACAGATGAACCCACCTGGCCAACCCAGAGGGAGCTGGAAAAAGCAGCCTTCAAACATCTGCCCACTCGGTATAGGCATCCGTTTAAGTCAGGCACATAAAACTTTTGTTCTCATTAAATACTTGTTCTCATCCAAAGTATGGAATGAAACTGCCTGGGGATTTTTAGGCATGGAACACTTAACTCACGCCCAAGCCTTGTGCTGTCCAATGTGGCAGCCACTGAGCACTGCATTAGTCTGTGTTACCTATGGAAATATCTTGAATACATTATTTTTTTAACCCTGATCTTTTATCTCTGTGTTTTTTTGTTTGTTTCTGGTACCAGGGATCGAACTCTGGTCCTTGGAACCACTGAGCTAAATCCTCAGCCCTTGAATACATTATTTTTGAAGAAAAGGTTTCAATTAGAAAGTAAAATAAAGTGGTAAGGGACTATGGGTTGAGGAGCTGGTAAAGGCTGGCCCTTAACCAAGGAGAGTAAGAAAATAGGAAGGACTCCAACTTGTTTTCCCTCAGGCAAAAGGCTTGCTGAACAGCAATGAGCAATTATCTGTCTACACTAATTTCTTTCAAAGACCAGTCTCTTAGGGGTCTGCATAGCCAGATATGCTGGTGCCAACCTGTAATCCCAGCACTCGGGAGGCTGAGGCTGAGGAACTCGCCCTGAGTTCAAGGCTCGCCCCAGCTACACAGTAAATTTGAGGCCAGCCTAAACTACATAGCAAGACTGTCTCAAAAAACAAAACAAAAAACCCAGCACCTTAAGGGTCTGCATGCACCCGAGAAGCCTAAAATTCAGTGATGCTGAGCCAGTAAGCCGTCCAACCTCAGCCCCAAATGCCGTGTGGCTTGAAGAAAATCTAAAATGTGGCCCGTGTGCAAGCCTGCCCAGGTTCTGCCTTTCTCCTGGGCTCCCCAAGGTCTCCCACACATACAGTGGATTAGTCAGCCAGGTGTGTGTGGAGCCCGCGATGCAGCCCTCCCGTGAGCCACTCACAACACTTACCTCACAGGAGATGCAGGCAGAGAAGCCGGGCCAGGCCAGGGCTCCTCTCCCGACCTGTGTCACAGGAGCAAGGGGTTTCCGGTGGGCCTGGGATCCGCAAGTTCCATACATGGCAGGTCAGACCCCCACCAAGGAGAAAATATAGACTGATGACACTTCAGGGTCCTGGAAGAGGGTCAAGTGTGAGCTTGTGCAACAGAGGGCAAGAGTGGGGTGTGTGTGCGTGTGTGTGTGTGTGTGTGTGTGTGTGTGTGTGTGTGTGCGCGCATTTCCATAGATACTGCCTGGCAAGCACAAGGTTCTGAGTTCAATCACCAGTACCACAAAAAAAGTGAGTGTGGATAACTACCGTCCTTTGCCAGGGCTGCCAAAACAAAGTTCCACAGATTGAGTGATTTCACAGTATAAATTTATTTCCTCATAGTTCCAAAGGCCAGAAGTCCAAGATCAAGGTGTGGCCAGGACCGGTTCTCCTGAGGCCTTGTCTGCGGCTTGCACGTGGCTTCTTCTCATGTCCTCTGTGCCTGTGGCTTCATCGCTTTTCTAAAGACATGGGTCGTGCTGGTGCAGAGCCTGCCCGAAAGCCTCGTTTTACCTGAATTACCTTCCCGGTGACCTATCTGGACACAGGCACATTCCGAGGGGCAAGGGCTTCGCCAAGGGGATCTGGGGGCCCCACTATCCAGAGCCTCTGGAGACAACACACCTGTGCAGCTCACATGTCCATCAGGATCAGAAAGGGGCCCTGGGGCAAGTGTGGGAGCACAAGGAAGTGCGCAGGTCAGCGGGGAGCTGAGGCTGAAGTGTTTGAGACCCCCTGGCCCGCAGGGACCTGGACGCTCCCGCACCTCCTGCGCCCCCTCTAGGCCACAGACCCGCGATTCAGCTTCCCCCAATTCCAGTCCAATACCAGTGTCTAGCTGTCTGCTTGAAAATACCCACAGGGGCGGGGCAGTAGCTGAGTGGCAGAGCAAGCTGCACAATCCCTAGTACCACCAAGAAGCCCATCAAAAAGTCTGATCAGAAGAAATAAAAACACTGAAATGATGAAGTATAGCAGACAGGCGTAATTCCCTAAAATGAACCTATTATGGTCCACAAAACACACTCATTTTGAAGAGCGTGCATTTAAGGATCAATCTGTAAGTAGTCTGAAATTATAAGTATTCATACTAAAATCAGGTGGATGAAAGTAAAGAATTATCCCTAAAATCAGATTTGAATCTAAAGATGTATCCAATTATTGGGCAAACAGACACTGGCGGCCTGAGGTGGGGAGGAGCCTCTGGTAACCTTGGAAACACATCCATGTGTAGGACCCTGAGGACCGTTCATCAGGTCCTGACCCAAAGTGAGCCATGAGGCACTGTGACACCTGAAGGCCACAAGTAGCACAGTCTCACACCCGGCCATCTGCCATCCCCCTCAAGAACAAGGCACAGGCGCTGCTGGCTGCCACAGCCCTCAGCCCAGCGATGTCAGGACGTTGCAGTCTTCTTTCAAGACCCTCCTGCCTTAGGCCGGACCTGGTCTACACTTAGGGCTTATCTTTCCTAAGTTTCTCACATGATTAAAGCCACCAGGAAACACCAACCATCGAAGGACAGGAAGACATCTCACGACCCCCAGCAAAATGCTCATAGGCGGGCCAGGGATTTAGCTCCGTGGTTCGGTGGCCTGCCTTGCAAGCGCAAGGACCCGAGTTCAATCCCCAGTACCAAAAACAAAACAAAACAACAAAAAAAAACCCAAAGAAACAAAATGCTCATAGGCATCCTAAGCCCCCAGTTCCCTGGTCCCCGAGAGGACTCTCCACTGACTGCCTTCCCTCCACAAGGGGCTCCCTCCCTTCCAGCCAGGCCTGAGGTCTGGACTGAAGTCTACCTCCAAGGGACTGCGGGGCCGGCTCCCGGGCATCAGAAGAGCCAGCCACCAGGGGACACAGGGAAACCTACAGGGAGCCAGGGACCACGTGAGCATGGCAGGCAGAGCACCGGGGGGTGGGGGTGCTGGGCTCCTCCCCGACACAGCCCAAGGCGAGGCCGGCGGCACCTCAACACATGAGCCATGTGCAGCCTCTGCTGTTAGGGTCACTACCAGGTCATCAGCAAGGAGCCCCCTCCTCTCTGGTCACCTCAGCATCTCCTCGCTGGGCTGTGTCCCCAGCACTTCTATCCAGAACCCAAGAGGCAGGAGCTCCTCCCACAGCCCTGGCCCACAGCAACTGTCACCCTGTGGGGGACTCCGTGTCAGAACCAAGGCTCACAGATGCTCCTGTCTGCAACTGTGCACCCTGAGCAGCTTCCCAGCTGCCACCATGTCATCTGGCCCTGGGCTCCAAGTGCCCCCGGAAAGGTACGTGGGACGCGGAACTAGACCGGCCAGGCGCTCACCGGCCTGGCCCCAAAAGGCCAAACTGGGAGTCAGGACCCAGCCAGGAGCTGCAGAGGCCAGTGAGTCCTCTCGGAGCAGTTCTGTCAGCCGTGGCCCCTGGCACTCGGGGACCTGGAAGCAGGGCTGACTACAGGATGGGGGAAGGAGGTGAGGACGGGACAGGTGTGCGGCACGAGCACTGCTCAGTGAGCCTCCCAACACCGCCACTACAACTGTCCCCCTCGACCACTCTTGGGCGCACCCCGGTGTCCTCTGGCCACCTCCCCAGGGTATCTAGGGGACCCCAGGCCCTTGGAGTTGGGCCCTGGGACCCAGCCAGGCCTCGCTGCTCCTCCCCCAGAAACTGGGTCGGGGAAATCAAGGCTGCTTTGGCTTCTCAGGGACACAAGAACGGAGGGGGGGAGCCGGGGAGCCACGCCCATGAGAACCGCCTTTTATTCCCGAAGGTGCCAAAATCATCACCAAGGATTCACCGAGGGGTGCGAAGGGGAATGAGGCTCAAACACTGATTGGGGGGCAGTCCGGAGGAAGAATGGGCGGGGGACCCCAACAGTCCTCCCCCTTCTAATGCCACAGAAAGGGGTCCTCCTCAGCCGGCCCTCCCACCCCGCGGCAGTCTTGGGTAGGAGGCGGCTGGGAGGAGGGCGTAGTGTGAGTGGCCCAGGAGGAGGCTTGGGCGGCCGTTTCACATGCACTCAACACGGATCTCCCGGGCGGGAACCTCCCGCCAC